TGTGACTGTTATATGAGCCGGCATTAAGAATTAATAAGATACATTCGCAATCGGGAATCTGATACTTGAAGCTGTTTAACTTATAAAGTTACTATTGATTAAAAATAAATAACATTATAATAATGTTACTAAGTAATAACTTTTAGCGTTTTCTATTCTAATTCGCGGAAAATTAGTGTTACCATAAATAAGAAAATATTTTATAATTTTTTCAATATTTTTTTATTTAATTGACAATTATATAAAAATACTTTACAATATACTATTTTATAATTTGTTCTATATATATATATATATATATATATATATATATACACAAATATTGAACAAATTATAAAATATTAATAAAAAGATAGAAATATTGAAAAAATTATAAAATATTTTCTTATTTATGGCAACTCATATGCTAATTTCTGTTTTGTCTTTCATACACTTTTAGCATTACCACCTCGTCGATGATAAAAGATTTGTACATTTCTGATGATAAAACAGTGATTATATAAGGTAAAACTCGATCCTTCTTTCGGAATAGTCGAATAGCCAAAACAGTCGATAATGTCAGTATTCTTCAATTATCACCGAGCCCCCGGGCCAGTCACGAAAATTTACCCAGGGTTGTCGGTCTTTAATAGTATCTCGTCGGTACAATTACTCAATCAATTAATTACAAAGGTCTGTCGACTTTGAGAAACGGCTAAGTGCGGATACTTTATCAAACGACTGCGCCAACCGTCGCTCCGTTAGTTGTTTTATTATCTTTGACCTTCCAGAAGGTTCTCCAGACAGGAAGGGGTATTACTTGCCATTAACGAAACCTTCTAGAAAATCAGAGACAAATTGCGGGAATTAGCATTGGCTAAATTACGGCTTTCAAGCAGTAGGCGCTTGTAATTGGGCGCCGCGGTACCGAGGTAGGCGCAAGTTCTCGGTGCGTTCACATTGCGCGCGCTAGCGTTGCGTCACGCGATCGGAAGCGCGCACCTGCTTCAAAGCAAGATTTATCGACCGCGATTTTTGCTGGTTTGTACACTCGACGACAAAAATAAAAATTAACACAAATGACATATAGTGAAAATAAATATTACAGTTACTATTTTCCCTCTTTCTCGAGTAAGGTAAATTACCAACGATCGAAAAGATCGACGATTATTTTAGCTACAATAGAAGTTGTTAGCAAATTTATAATTGTACCAAAGAACACATCGCAGTCAAAATGACATCATTTTGACGTCATAGTTACATCACGGCAGAAAAAGTCAACATGATGATTTTTGGTTACAAAATTTGACTGCTTATTGACGTCAAGAAAAAGTCTTACTGTATAGTAGTATGCATGGGGATTCAGTATAGTAAATTTTTTTTACCGTGGTATTAGAAGAGGATATTAAAAGCAGATCACATATATTCATTCAGTGAAATACATATGAAACAAATTTATTAAATACATATGTTAAATATACATGCATTATATAACATATATATATATATATATATATATATATATATGTATATTTGTATATCACATGCGCGCAATATATATTAATATATACTTACAAAACTACATACATACTTATTTTTTCTTTTTTGCACATTGTTTTTTGCATCATATTGTTATAAAAGAATATTAAAGACTAGTATTAAAGACTGGAAAATTGAAACTAAAATTATATATTATATGCGAAGAAAAAAGTCGTCTATGTCTCAAATAACAAAAAGCGTAAAAGAATGATTTTGAAAAGTAAACAGTTAATACAAACAAAAGCGATACGCCTTTATTGCACATAGACTATTAATTAAGGTAAAAGTAAAAAAAAGTCAGCATTTTCTGCACCAAATGTACAAAGGACAAACTAAAAAAGGCACTAATCTTATTTTTATATAGTATAACGTTCAAAAATAATAAAAATTGTTTGCATTTATACCACATGCTGAGCACTGGTGCTAAACCAACGTTTCACGTAATCTTCAGGCTTCTTTAAGTCGACTGTTTTACCAAATTTCTGCAGAATAGCAGCTGTAAGGAAACATATATATCACTATTCAACAAACTTGTCGCTTTTGAAATACAACGATAAAGTGTTATTCAAGGAGGTACACCACAGCTGCAGATATTAAAATATCTGTTTTATTTTATTATTAAAAACACACAGCTTTTCACTTGTATTAACAATATAGAAAAGTGGTGACCATCCTCTACTTAATTTTTATAATATTTTATAATATTTATCATAAAGAAATTAATCCAAATTGATGCAGAAAAAAATGATAACAATTTTTAATTGATTTAAAGAAAAATTAAATTACAGAATCCATTTTAATAATTAATTTAAAAGATTATAAAGAATAATTAGTTAATGTAGAATAAACAGTTACAAATAATTTAGTCAACACATTTTCAACAAGTAAATTATTTACCTTGAATAGTCTTATACGTTTTACTCTTGTTGAAAGCTATTTTGGTTTTCCGAGTACCTCCCCAACTAATAGATCTGGAAAAGGAATTCGTGATCACTTTCGGGAGTACAGACTGCAGAGCAGCAACTTCTGAATCTTTGTTTTTCATTTTTGCCGCAAAAAGACATCTACCTGTACAATTGTAATTTCATAAATGAAATAACATTATATAAATATTATTTTAATCTTATTGATACAGTAACAGGGCGCAAACGGAAAAACATAATTTTGGGGAACTAAAAATCAAGCAGACTGCTAAAATATATTTACCACGTATGTAAATGCATCGTCATCTGCGAGAATTTCTTCCAGTTTTTCCCACTCCTCTTCTGTACGTAGAGGAAATGCTGGGATTCCGTGTGGTCGCTTCAATTTTATTTCTTCTGGAAAAAGTTTTTTTATGATACGGTCTAACTTAAGTTCCAAGTTGTCGAGCTTGAGGCGTTCTTCTTCTTGAATTTTGACAATATTGTCAAGAACGTCCCACATCCACATGATATCTGTGCTTTCTGGAAATAATAGGAAATGTAGTTTATTTAATCGATTTCATTCTCATCTTAAATTGACATGGAAATGAAAAAAAGTACTTACTGTCATTTCTTTTTCCCTTCTTGCGGGAGAAGTCGCCAGAGCCTTATAAAAAATATATCGTGTATAGTTAAAAACAAATTAAATAGTTAGGAAAAAAAATAAAACATTATTTTCACCTCTCAAGAACGATTTTACGGTATTTCTCTTTACTGAGTTATCTCTATTAGCAAGGTCTTGCTGTGCAGACCTGTGTTCCGTCAAGTTCTGCATATCATATTGCTATCACTAAGTTCATTATTGCTTTGGAAAACTTCCTTTTCACCTCCCAGCTCATGCAGTGAAGAGGAAATTTTAGACTCTGTTGACGTTTGTGTTGCGGGCAGCATCTCTGAATGAAAAGTCATATCTAAAGAAAATTGAGAAAGTGTAATTATAGATTGTATTGTCTAACTCGCAAGAATTCCAAAGCTGGCTAAAATACTATCACATTTTCTCTTTAAACTCATTACACATTACGGATAAAGAATAGAAATAAGCAAAGTGTATTAAATAGTGTAAATGACCAGCTCTGCAAGTGTTCGTAACAGCGAATGAAAAGGAAATGTTCACCCAGCATGGGGACAAAGTAATCCAAGAAGCATCACAGAAATACTCTCGTGAAAAGAAGGAAAAACTCACCGTCAACATTCAATGGGGATTGACACAAGTTTTTGGAGGCATGAAGATCTGCATTGGAAAAATCAGTAGCATTTGCATTTTCTGTATCTGCAGGGCTCTTTCCACAATTACGAAGAATATCTGTAGCAATATAAGCCAATTATAAGGCATTAACATTACTCATATAAATATAATATGATAAAAATGAGGGGGCATATTCACATGAGTCATGTCAGTCAAAGATTTAATTTGTTACCTTCCGATTGTGATTTTTCAAGAAACACTTTTTTATTTACTGCTTTGATAAGTTTCTTTGCGGTCAAGACTTTTCTTTTTGTATTCGAATTAATTCCGTTGCCCTTCGATGCTTTTATTGGATGAGAAACTTGGGCTTTCAATGCAGCGAGCTGCTCTCTGATATTTACTGCAGGAGCTGGTACACTATTTACTTGAGAGACATCCTGGCACTTTTCACGTTCCTCGCTTTTTGTACGTTGCATTTCTCGACGGGGTTTTCTTGCAACCTGCAGTTTACATTTTTTACGCATATTTTCCGATTTCCGATCGTCATCATCAGAACTCTGATTCTGAAATTTGACTGAAGGTTGACGCTTCCGCGGCTTCTCGTAATCAGTCTCTATGTTGGAGTCAATGGGTTTATCTTCGGCGGCCAATTTAGCAGCTTTACTTGCAAGGTTAAACGTTTCTAGAAGCATGAAAAGAAACAGTATAATTCAGTATCTATAAGAGAATCCAATACGTTACAGTTAAGCTCGTATCAGATTATGAATTAGGATTGAGATTGAATTAAAATTTTACCAAACAGAGTAAAGTTTATTAAACTTGGGATTCTTTCGTATTGAGTTTTCTTCATTATGATTCGTCAAATTTCAATCTTAAACCATACTCTGATACAGACTTTAGGCTACTTACTGTAACTGTGCAAAAAGTCAACGTTACATTCTTCCCAGTCTTCTTTCACATCCACAAGAGACATTACCAGTCTCGTAAAGCATTTTGTTTTAGGAGGATACACGACAGTCTCTTTAAATTCATTTAGCCATTTAGTTGCCACCACGCATGTACCACCATCCGGCCAAACAACCAAGAACTGTTATGAGACAAAGAAGCAAATAAAATAAATAGGAAATACCTACTTATATATTCGTCTTGATAAATTCCACGAGCAATAAAAATTTATTTTTACTAGTAAAACATATATATATATAATGCAACTGACAAGAGCACATTCAGAGTGGCATATATGTCAAGCTCAAAAGAAAAAATTAAAAAATAAAAGTTTATTAATTGTTTCATCTAAAAAGTTCTAAAGCGAAAGTGTAAAACATTGACGCCCAGTTTACATCGCCCATGTTTAAGAAAGGCATCCTATCTTCACGTCGCATTAAGTAAGAGGAAAGGTAAAGGGTTCTTACAGATGAAATTTTACTGTAGTTTAGCGAAATGTCTCACCCTTACTTTATTGTGACCAAGTATGAACGAGCAGAATACACAGATAACTATCATTGGCATCAGGAATGAGAATGCATTTCTGAAGAACTTGATTAATAGGCCAGATTTTTTCTGTTTCCTCAAGTTGCGATACCTTACAGATGCCTATGACTGTGGAATTGATAGGAAATGTAAAGAAGTCACAAATGTTCTTAAATCTGTGTCCATGTAAAGAAATTTGTGTGCCACGAAAGGGACAAGTAATTTTTGAGAGGACGACTACTTCGCCATTTTTTGACTGAAAGCAACAATCTGCTTCTGATGTGGAAAGTGTCATTCCGTGCATGGTCAATTTAGAATAAACCTCTACTTCATCATCTCCCTTGTAGTGTTTTTTACTTAATTCGATTCGCTCTTCGTCAATCATATCTTTTTGCATAAATCGGCCTCCTCTTTCAAAGTCTCTGTTGTAAAGTTGCTGAAGAGGCATGTATGTTGCTCTTAGGCAACGTTTGATGACACCCAAGTAATTTTCATACTTAAATTACTAAGAGCCTGGTTAGTGCGACATTCTGTAGGTAGATGGCAGAGTACATAAATATAATAAGTAACAAATTCATTTCCAAAAATGTCCGCAGCATGACGAATAAATACACGGAGAAAAACGTCTGCTGTTTCAATCATACTGTCCTTTTCAAGTAAAAATGGGGTCGAGAGAATATACACTCCGCATTGTAGAAATAAGTAGTTTGTGTATAACTTTTGACCCAACGAGCTGAAAATTTTTATTCCATCATATAAAAGAATTCTCCTAAACTCTGATGCCTTATATTTTCCGAAATAAGATAAGTTACGAGGTCTTCTG